TTTTATATCTTAATTTTTAAAAATTTATATTTCAATAAGTTATCAATCTATTTTAATAATTTTACTATTATTAGACTCAAAAAATCTACTTTACAACTTTTATTTAATAATTAAAATTAGGTTACTTAATATGATTTTTTATAAAATTAAATATAAAAAAATTTACTATTAGGTTTATATATAATTTTAAAGGTATTAGTTTATGGCAACCTATTACTATGATGACCCTATAATTGACCAATCAGATTATATAAAAAAATTATTAAAACAATAATAAAATTTTAAATTTTTTAAAACTTTTTTTAATTATATCTTAATAACTATTTATTCAAATTCAATAAAATTTTTTTATTTGAATTCTACAAATTTTTATAATTCAAACAAAAAAATTTTTATTAAATTTAATGAAATAATTGTTAAGATATATTTAATTAAAATTTATTAAATTTTCAAAATAATTTAAAAAAAAAAATCTAAATCAAAATTTTTAACAAAACTTTAATCAAATATATCTTAGCAATCATTTGATCAAATTTAATAAAAATTTTTTTATTTGCATTCTACAGATCTATAGAATTCAAATAAAAAAAAATTATTAAATTTTATTAAGTAATTATTAAGATATTATTAAAAGAAGTTAATTTTTTAAAATTTAAAAAATATCTATTATATTATGTTTGTATTAAAATTTTTATTACAATTTTGATCAAAAATATCTTAGCAATTACTTAATCAAATTTGATAAATTTTTTTTTTATTTGAATTCTACAGATCTATAAAATTCAAATAAAAAAATTTTTATTAAATTTGATTAAATAGTTGCTGACATACCTTTGATCAAATTATTTTTTAAATTTTAAAATATCTATTATAAAAAATTGCATCAAAATTTTTATCACAACTTTGATTGAAGTTATCTCAACAATGACTTAATCAAATTTGATGAAAAGATTTTTATTTGAATTCTATAGATCTGTAGAATTCAAATAAAAAATTTTTATCAAAATTTGATCAAGTAATTGCTAAGATACTTTTGATCAAAGTTATTTTTTCAAATTTTAAAATATTTATCATATGATACTTATATCAAAATTGTTAACAAAACTTTAATCAAAGATATTTTAACAACTACTTGATCAATTTAATAAAAAAAAATTTTTTTATCAAACATTACGACTAATTTAGTTTTTTTAACCTTTTTTATTGGTCACTAAAACTATAAAATTTGATCAAATTTTATTGATGACCCCTTAAAATTATAATTCTTTGTTAAACATTGGACAATCAATTGACTTGTACATTACTGCAAAGCATCCCAAAAATACAAAATCACATAAGAGAACTAACATCTAACTGATTACCCCACCCTTCAACCAATTACTTTTTTTTGGAAAAAAATAATCATTAATGATGTAATTATTAGAGATAAGCAATCATGTACTTATCAGCATAAGGTGCTTTATCAACACATATTTTAATTTAGATTATTGATTATTGATATTCGTTGTCATTAGTCATATAACAATCAAGCAGATTAAACCTTTTACTTTGTATATACGAATGTAATTATTATTAATAAATAAATACACTTAAATATAATTATTATTTTTAATTTATTATTTTTTTAATAGTTATTTAAATTTAGTTATTATGAATTCGGCAAAACTTTCTGCTGAAATAACAAATTTAAATAATAAAAGTTCCAAGAATCAAAAAGTATCTAAGCCTTACCAATGCATTATATGTCAAATAAAACGATTCAAAAGTATAAAAAGGTTTTATCAACATGAAACTCTCAAACATTATGATTACAGAATACTACCATCTGATATTCCTTATTTACCTCTAAATGCAATTCAACAATTTCATGAAACATTAATATTTTTTATTAAGAAACGATTGCCACTTCATTTTAAAAAAACAGGAAAACAAACAATCAAAATACTATGTAGCGAAAGTCAATTTGTTGGAGTATTTGGGTTATGGATTCAACATTACTCACCTTGTAAAAAAAAGTATATATGTTTTTTTAAAGGTCAGAATGCAGATGCAACAATGGCAATGATATTGCAAAATAATGAATGGAGTAGTCGATGGTATGAATTTGAACAAAAGGCATATGTAATGTTATATGATGTATCGATATCTGATATTCAAAAAATACCTGAAATGAAAGTAGAATAGCATACTGAAACAATAACTGATGTTCGTAAAAATACTATTTCTACAGGATTTATTATTATTAAATTTCAAATAGATACAATTAGCTATCAAATTCAAAGGTAATTAAATATTATTTTATAAATTTTATCATTATTAAATAATTACTATATTAATATTTATTAATTTATTTAGAGAATAAAACAATAATTTCTATTTAATAGAAATATATTTAGGCTTTTTAAAAGATAATGGTATTCTATTTTTAATGTAATATAATAATCTATTCTCATGTTGTAAAATTTCTAAAATTGCTAAATATTGAGTATTGTTTTTTTCACCATCTTTTAAAGTTCTGTTAAAAAAGTATGTTTGTTGGTGATTTTTTTTTTCAATTGGAGCACATGAAAATGCATGAAGACCTAATTTGTTATGATTTTGAATTATATTCAAAATATGATTACAAAGAAGATGCATATAAGGTGTTATATCAGATGGTTTATAAAGTCCTTTAATAAAATTTGGTGAATTAGGTATTCCTAAAGTTGGTGTTAAAAATAGTTCTATCCATTTTTTCGCCTTGTTTTCAAACTCATCTGCAGTAGTTTTAGTATTAAGTAATAACATATAAAGTTTTTAGAATTCATCTCAAAGTTGTCGAATGAGTACAGCTCTTTGTTGACTAAAAAGCTTATTAAGATCAAATTCACAAAGCATTTTAAGCTTTTTATCTCCTGATAATGAAGTAAAATTCCATGTACGTAAGTTATAATCTTGCCAGAAATTAAAAACAATACTAATTCGTTTCATTTCTTCACAAATTATATTTCTAATTTCATTCATATTAATATTAATCTCAGCTAATACCAAACTCCATAAGCGGTCTGTAATTCTAAGTAATATATGAAGTTCATCTGGAATCCAATTTTCAAGTGGTATCATAAAAAAGAGTGGTTGTCAAATATGTCCAGAACAAGAACTACGATTATTAAGAAGCATATTTATATCTTTTTTGTCCCAATATTTATTATACAATCCTATTTCTTTTTTAGAACATTTACAGTAAGGACAAAAATATATTGCATTTGCAGCATTTAGTCCTAAACATAGAGCGAGAAATTTCCAATCAGATGAAAAATAAAGTTTAACAGTCTATTTTATATTAAACTCATCAACAATTCTATTATTAGAAATGTCTTGTAAGTCTTGAATTAATGGTGCTAAAGCTTTTTGTAAAAGTTGATAGTCTTCGATACCAGAATATAAAACTACAGTATAATGCCGTTCAGATATTCATAAATTATCAATATCATTTAAAATTGAACATGTTACCATAACATGTTTTACTTGATGCCCCACATTTCTACTGTCATCTGAAATTCACAACATAATTAAAGGATTATTTGGATCTAATATATTTTCATCAATGTAAAATGGAATTATATATTTTAAAATATTTTTGATACTTCTATAACCAGCCTTTCCAATTGATTCTGCTATACCATGAATTACTTCCTCATTATCAATATGAATTTCTTTATTATTTATTATAGATAGTGTTGAAGTATTTATATTAATATCTGTAACATAAAGAGGTATAATACCTTGCATTAAGTTATCAAGATTAAGTTTTTCATTACTAATTATATATTCATGATCTAACTCTGTTGTAATTTTTGCTATTGAATGAAGAGCATTTCGTGAAATATGATTATAATCCATTGCTTGAATAAAAGCCAGTCTTTTTTGTTGTTTTAAAGCTTCATCATCTGAATATTTTACTATCCAATCTTGATCACCAACTAATAAAGTAAGTGACTTTATTTGTAATTGATCCTTATGATCCAAATATGTTATTTCATTATTAATAAAATCACGAATTCCTTCACCAATATATTTAATTCGAGACTTTTTAGCTGAATTACTGAGAGTTTTAATAGGCCGAAAAACATTTGATCTATGGTGAGAATCTCTAACTTGTTCTACACATTTAAGTTGTAATCCAAATACTATTGTTCCTAATAATATTGATGTTCCTTCAGAGTTGTAAGTCTTTTTAAAAAATTATTTTTTTAATATATATTAAATTTAAAAAATAAATATATATTAAAAAAAACTTTTTTACCTGAGCAAATAAATTTGCTGCATGAGTTGCACTTTTTCATGACTCAATTATATGTATCCCGAATTTAATTTTAAAGCAAGGTTTTAATTGAACCTTATTATTTATATTATGATATATGTAATTAATAGAACATGTTACATTTTGTATTTTGTTTTTTTTATCCTAACTAACTACAACTTTGTAATCATTAGGAATTCTATAGCAATTATTTTTTTTTTTTTGAGTTTTAGCAAGGATAGATTGTGCCAGATAATGACCTTCAGAAATAATCGTATAATGGTAAGTGTCACTAGATTGATTTCTGTATTCAATTTCAGTTTTTTTAGGATAATCATAAAGCTCTTCTGAATCCATAGTTATTTTAAATCGAAAGAGAAATTGTATAAAAAATATATTAAATTGTGATTGTGATTATGATGATCAAGTATAAGAATTTTACAAGCGAACAAAAAAATCTTTGTATGATATTATAATTTGTGAGCACATCACTAATAAATCAATATAAAAAATCTGTTATATGTATTTTTTACTTCGTACTTTTATATAACATTGCTATTAAGATAAATAATAAATGACTAGTATCATATCGGTATGTAATTTAAATACATAGCCTTTAAATAAGAAGATATTGATATATTTTCTTAGTGAATAATGCTAATTATTATCTTGATAAATTCATTATTATATGAACAATGATTATCATTATAGATAGGATTGATTTATACAAATGCATCTAAATTAATAGGTACTTAAAAATACTTTATTATTAGGATCGCTATTTGTTTTATCTAGTGCTATGATTCATTATACTGTATTTATATTCTTTAAGTGAGACAAATTTCACCCAAAAGTGAGAAATGTAATAACGATAATTATATAGTAAGCAATAAATTACATTATAAGCATTATATACTAATTAATCTTATTTTTAATTATGCAAATATGTAGTAATAGCGATAAATACATAATACAGAAATTTACACCATCAAATGATAATCCCACTCCTACAGATCAGTTAATACCCTTAAATTTTGGGATATGATTCAAATTAGCTGTAATGATTTGATTAAGTCATTGTTGAGATATCTTTGATCAAAGTTGTAATGAAAATTTGGTACAGTTTTTTGTAATAAATATTTTAAAATTTAGAAAAACTTTGATCAAAAATATCTTAGAACCATTTGATCAAATTTGATAAAAATTTTTTTATTTGAATTTTACAGATTTATAGAATTTAAATAAAAAATTTTCATTAAATTTGATCAAATAGTTGCTGAGATATCTTTGATCAAAATTATAATAAAAATTTTGCTATAAGTATTATATAATAGATATTTTAAAATTTGAAAATAACTTTAATCAAAGATATCCCAACAACTATTTGATAAAATTTAATAAAATTTTTTTATCTGAATTCTACAAATCTGTAAAATTCAAATAAAAAATTTTTTATCAAATTTAATTAAATAGTTGCTAAGATATCTTTAATTAAAAGTTTGTTAAAAATTTTAATACAAATATTATATGATAAACATTTTAAAAATTAAAAAATTAGGGGTGTGGTGACCTAGTGAAGTGGTCAAATTGTCAACCTCCAAGTAGTAGATTGGGTGTTCAAATTCCATTAGCAACAAAAATTTGAATAATCATCTATGTAATATTCATATTATGGCAACTGTTACTAATGATTAAATTAGAATACCTGTAATGATAGTCACACTAGCATGACTGGCAGGTTATAGGACATCTGTGTAAATATGGCATTATACAGAAAAATGCAAACTGACAAATCAGATAGTGCAAATACTAGATAAGTCTTTATGATCATGTAAATTCATTGAAATTAGGTAACAAGAAGTTCATTTGAAAAGATCTGAGTAGAGAGGTAACTAGATTTTCAATGGCTCTACTGTAAAGACAAAAGTCCCAGCATCACTACAAATCGAGTGCACAGTCACATGATCTTCCAATCTTCTGACCATTAATTATTTCTGACTGATTAACTGATTACTGTAATGATTAATATTTATATTATTAATAACGATTATAATAATAATAACAGAAATAAAATTTTAATGGAAAATAAAAATTCTTTAAGTAAAACACAAACATGCACAAGGTGTTGATGTATTCGGCCACTTGCCGATTTTATAATGAATGAAGATATTCAAAGCCATTGTTTAAATTGTCGCATTTCTACATCTCATGCAAAAAAATGAAAGCGTCAAGAAGTTGATTGTTCTTCAATTGAAAAGAATAATATTATCAATCTTGCAGATGTTATGGATTACGTTTATAATAATCTTATAGAATACAAAAACTTGAATGAAGATTTTGAAGGACATACACATTTTCACCTTCAATTTTTTATTGATTCAGATTCAATTTATGAAGAAATTTTAGTTGATATCGATATTACTGAAAAAGACAAAGATTTATACATTGCTAATTTAATTGTAAATATGATTAGTAGTGGGATGGATACGTATATGTTTTTCATTCAACGTATAATAGCAAATCATCTAAATTTTCAACATTTACTTATTGGTGCAATTCAAGAAATGAATTATATAAGCATTGCAAAAAGGTTGATGATATTGCAAAACAACATAACACTGAAGCATGTATTGATCGTTATAATTGCAAAGGTCTGGTTACAATAAAGATTTATCCTGATGATTATCTTGTATCTGTTGATATTTTACATAAAGTTTTACATTCGTGATCAGAAAAATTAAATGTAACAGAAGAAATCAAAACCTATATAAATACCTGTATTAATTAAAGTGTTTCGGATATTTACTAGTCAATTAAAGATTAGCAATTAAATAGGTATGAGCTCTTAACTATAAAACAAGTATACTACTGGTGGACATTAATGTCACAAGGAGAATATCGATATGCCGATAATGAACTTGATTCTGTAAAAAAATTTCTTGAAACACAAAATCAAGAAATTCTTTTTTTTGAAGACCATGCCTTTGCTTTCGTAACATCATTCATAGATATATTGTTACAAAATTTATTAGTAGAAATAATGACTGATGCTACTTTCAATATGAATAAATTAAAATATGAATTGTATAGTGTTATAGCAATTATAGACAGCACAGGATTTCCAATCTCATATTTATTTGTATCAGCTGGCAAAAATCATAACCTTACTTATACTATTTCTACATGGTTTGCAGCATTAAAAACACGACGATTAACAAATATAAGTATATTTTATACTGACAAAGACCTTTGTCAAATTAATGCTGCTAGAACTATATGGCCTAATGTCAATATACAATTGTGCTTATGGCACATTAATCGTGCAGTAGAACAAAAACTATCATCATGAAAAAATCTGAAGATAGTTCGATATAATTCAGTCGAAGCCCATCAGCAATGCAATATAATTGATATTTCATGACAACCAGTTTTGCTTGATCTAACAAATGCAAATAAAAAAACAACTGGTTTTCAACTAGATGATAAAGAAATTTGTATAGATATCAAAAATCTTATGACAAAACATTTTAATAGGCACATGCTATTACCAAAAAAGGATAAGACTTTTACAACAAATCAACAAGAAATATGGATTGAATGCGTTAGTGAAATGTATCACTATTGTCATAATAAAAATCTTATTTTTATATAGTCTTATATGTAGTGTGAATGGTATTCTCCAAAGCAGTGTCTCTTTGGGCACGATCATCATTTGAAAAAATTAGTACTTTACATATGACTATGGTGATTGAATCGCATTGGCAACTTTTAAAACATGATCACCTTTACAAGTTTAATTGCCCCTGCTTGGATCATTTGTGTTTTGTAATCATAAAAAAGGTACTGTATATACATATATATAAATTAGCACATATCAATATCTATTTTGATTTAACTTATAAGTTTTTTAAGGTTATTGCATGACAAATTGAAACATTCAAGCTATTATGTCATGAACATCAACTTACATCGTGGCAAAAGAAATTTCAGAAAGAATGAAATTCATTAGCATCCCATTCATATAAATCTAATACATACTTAACTAATCATGAAAAATGGATTTGTTCTTGTCTATATTTTATGAATAATAGATTTTTTCTATGTAAGCATTTAGTCATTCCAATTGAACCAAAGCTATCCTCATTTTTTTATAAAGTGTGTATATTAAAAATTTTTATTGTAATATAAATTTACAGTATCTATTAATATTTCTAACAACCTATTAATTTAGGTTCATCGCAATTCAACATACCCTTTAATCACGGTATCAAGCAACCCTTGGCTAGAAATACATTTAGGCTGCAATTTTATGAACCTCAGAAATAATAAATATTCACTAAACAATTCTACTGAAAGATCTAATAATGATGAAATACATGAAATTAATGAAAATAAAATGTTCGAAATAAATGATAGCTTTAGAGAGATTAAGCAAAAACATTCAGAATTGTCACAAGTTTTAAATGAAGTAAGACTTTTTTTTTTTTTTTTATATTAAATTTTAATTATCAATTTATATTTAGGTGCTTCGTATTCTTGATGAATCCAAAGGTTTTTCTAACTGCCAAAAATTTCTGAATAACATGAAAATAAAGTTAACTCCACTTAAAAAGTTAATGAAAGATATTTTGCATTATGAAAATAAACATAAACTACTATGAACTTGGAAAGATAGCAACAAAAATACACAATATTAAAGATAAAAAAAAGAAATTTTAATAATATAACAATTCCAATTATTTGTATTAAATTAATATTAGTACATAAATATATTCATATACTTATTTTGCAACTAAAGATAAAAAAAATAAAGAATATATTCATGCATTTGTCTTGCATATTAATAAACATTTACGTTTTGCAAATTTTATAAAATTGTGTTTCTGGAGCATTGAAGAATCAGAAGTCATGTGACTGTGCCCTCGATTTGTGGTGATGCTAGGACTTTTCTGTAAAGACTAGCCTAGAGAAATAGATACCAAGGTTGTAGTACCTAGTCATAGTAGCTGGACAGATAAGAACCTTTGGATTGAGAGTCTTAGGGGTATTACCAACTAGGCCATCAGAACAAACTAGAGAAAAAGAATATCAGGCTGACCTAATATATCGATAGACTGATTGTAATCTTATATAGGCTATCTGAATTGGAAGTTTGATAAAAAAGCAGATGAAAAAGCAGAGGTATACTAAAGTACCAGAGTTATGCTATAAAGTAGATGTTGGGGTCTAAGTAAACTTTACAAGGGCATAGT